TGGTGGCCTACTGTAGTACTTCAGATTTAGTGGTAAAGGAAGAGGAGGTGATGTTTGACATCCAAAGATCAAAACAAGGTTTTTTTATTGCCCAGGATGCCATGGCAATTCAAGGAACTTTCTCTTTGAGCCTTCAAAAATTCTGCCTCTTTGAACTTGTCAAGAAACTTCACTTGGCATCACATCCTTTTGGAGAATTTCTGTTGATGAAGTTTGGTATATTCTCCTAGCATTCTTTACATCTTTCTCCCTTGATTCAGTACCCAGAATGTCTACCGTTTTCAAACAAAATACTGCTTGACTTAACTTGAGATTTTTTTTTTTTAAAGATTTATTTATTTGTACATATAGAACTGGGGTACAGGCCAGAGGCTTAGGGGCGGCGAGAGGCTTCACCAGAGACAGAGCGGGGAGTAGAACAGGCAGATCTACAAAGTACACTGCTGAGGGCAGCAGCGGGCGGGTCAGGAGAGGTCTGCCACGCCATGTGGTCACCTCCGGGGCAGGCGGGAATCAAACTCATGCGGAAGTGGCTTTAGCTTCTCAGTGCAGTGCCACCAGGGAGGGCCAACTTGAGATTTTTAAAGACACATTCCATTAGAGGTCTCCAACTTGGAATTGATTAAGATTGGTTTCATTCACTGATTTAACTTCTATCTTACATGTCTTATGTACAGTATTTAATTCATGTGCCTTTCATTCTCTGAGAGTATTTTGTAATAGTGTTTCTATATACATCACTGTTATAGGCAGATCTCTTGCTACTAAGAGGCAACTTAATGCCTCTGTAACTTGTTCAAACTTTTGATGTCACAGGATACTAGGATCACTGAATTGATGTATTGTCTCTGTTTATATTCACCTGCACCATTTGGTTCATAGTTGGTCACAAGTCCTCCCTATTTGTAGGCAGAACTGGTGTTAACACATAGGTCAGAAACAGGATAGCAGCAGGACTTTTGGAGACTGCGGACTATTTGGTCACAAGTGTGTGTCCTATCTCATTACAAATATTCTGGCTTTTGTCCCTTGTCGTCTTCATGCTGGGCATCTTATAGACAGTTTTAGAGCAGGACATCAGGACTTCATCAGAGGTACAGACTGAATGTTCAGCTTAAGGTAAATTACACTCTAGTGATTTCAGAAGAAGATGAAAAGGCATTTGGTAAAATTCATCAGTCATTTCTGACTTAAAAGATAAACACTTGCGTAGAATAGAAAATAGATGAATATTTCCGTATCCTGTTCAAAATAAATTCCAAATAAAATTCATCATTATTAACATTTGAAGCATCTTTATAAAGAGCCATATATTATATCTACTCTCATCACAGTTGTGTTACACTTGGTAATCTGGAAATAATAGCCATTTCCTTTCAAAAATGAAAAATATTGAAAAGGAAAGGAGGACTTATTTTTTGAAGTATGATAATTTTGTGAACACGTAAGAAAATCACTAGACATGAATTTCAGCAGATGTTTTCTTGAGTTCAAACTATATCCTATAAAGAATCCATTTATAATAACAATATTAACTAAATAACCAGGAATTTGTAACAACAAATTAGGCATATAATATCTTTGAATAAACTTAAAGACTATATAGAAACTATGACAATTTATACAACTATAGTTGTGCTTTTAAATTGGTACAGAGTACCGATTTAAATGACAGAGTAATTATAAAGTTTATGTAGTGGACAAAACATGCACTGGAAAAATTCCAAAGGGAAAAATATAGATGAGGTTGGTAGGGGAACTAGTCTTTTACCAAAACACAGAAACTAGTCCATATTAAAACATGCTATGGGGCCCTCCCTGGTGGCACAATGTGTTAAAAGTGCAGCGAAGCTAGTTTGATCCCTGGTGGGCAGGGACGGTGACCCACCTGGCACAAGCCAACCTCTCCTTTCTCGCCCACTGCTTTCCTCAGCAGTGTACTTTGTCAGCCTGCCTGTTCTGCTCCCACTCTGTCTCTGGTGAAACCTCGTACCACCTGCCCCTGCACCTCTGGCCTGTCCCCCAGTTCTGTATACCTAAAAAAATAAATCTTTTTAAAAAGCTATGTGGGTCAGAGTGGTTAAACTAATTTGGTACTGATAATGAAATACATCAGAATCAAATGGAGTTTAGTAAAAAACCTCAAATATGTTAACATATGTGTATATGTTAAAAATTGTCTCATATCAGTGAGAAAATGGATTTATCATGAGGGGATAAATGACTGATGATTTAGATAAAGATGAAGCTAAGCTCTGCCTCACTGTTGGACAAGAATAAACCAACCATGAACTAAATAACATAAATACTGAAAATTAATCTAGAGAAGCAACAAAATCATCAATGAATATTAAAATATGTTCTTATGCAGTGAAGATCTTTCTAGATATGACATGGTCTCATGAGCCAAAAATGAGAAAATTTAAATTATTGATTATAAAAATTAAAATGCCAAATGTTATTAAACAATTTCAAAGATATGCATTAGTATATAAGAAAGTGGGTATTTGCTGTATTTTTTTCTACGAGGCAAAACTCCAAAGTTCTTAATAATTAATGAAAAGACAAACTCCACAAAAGAAAAATGTGTGCCATGATGGGAAATGTACAAGAATATTCAGTACTCCTGATTAATGAAGGAACTCAAAGCAAGATACTATTTATACCTATCAGGCTGGCAGAGATTTAACTTGCTTCTCAGTGAGGATAGAGCTGGAGGAAAACACTTCGCTGTTTGTTAAAGTGAGTTGATGCAACTAAATTTTTTAAAAAGAAATTTAGCACTATCCGACAAAACTGAAAATGTTCCTACCTTTGGAACTGGCAATTCCACTTTGAAAAATTTATGACAGCAGTTAACAGAATTTATGGCAGCTACAAAATGATAGAAAGATGTGCATAATATGATAGATAAGAAGGATAGCTTGCTTTTACAAGTCTATTTTATTTAAATAGCATTTTAAAGTTGGAAATGTCTGCATAATATATTTCTTTCAAATATCTTTGACAGACTACTAACAGCTATCTATGGAGAGTGGAATTGAGAGGCTGAAATCAGTCGGGTTGGGCTTTTTGCTTTTATCTTGTGCCCTTCTCTGTTTGAGTTTTCCTTTATTGAAAAGCCGGGAATTGTATTGCTGTTACCTTTAAAGTTAAAAAGTCAAAAATAGTGTTAAGAGTTTACATTTGTGTCACAACCTAATTATATTGCCTGGGGCTTTTTTCCTCCTGATTAATACAGATAGAGGAGCCTTTCATTTTGTACACAAAATAGCACTTGTTTATCAGAGCGGCATAACATTGATTTTCTGTACTAAGTGTTTTAGAAAATAGCATTTGCCCTGTGCTCTTGTCTCTCCTGTCTTGATCCCTTTTCCTCCTTCTCCCTCACAAAATGTCTCTGATTTATGGTTCCCTAATTTTGTTGTTTTTAATAGTAGTTTTTTTTTTTTTTTCCCCCTGATTCCCTTATAAGAGGCTATGGTGATGGTTCATAGATTCATAGATGAATTGCTGGTAGGAACTTTATGGAGGATACGCATTGATATAAAAGATATAAATTTAATTAAAAAAAAAGCCACTTGTCACCTGTAAGGGGTGCCCCTCCCATGATTAGAATCAGAATGAGACCCACATCATTGCAGTTGCCCTCTAAACTTTCATCGGTACCCTTGCTTCTGTAGTCCCCTGACATTATATAGTTCTTCAGTCTTGCTGGGGTTTCTTTGGCTAAAGACCTTGTAAGGCTATATCATGGCATATGTTCCTTCCTAGTTCATTCTAACAGCTAAGCGCCCTTTTCTATTCTAATAAACACATGGAAAACTTCCCAGTGAAACAATTTTTTCTCCAGCACCAGCTGTACTAGCTATGCAGAGGTAAGTAGATTGCAATCCTTGGGGCTGCTCTTGGTAAATATTCTGTGATTGGGGAAGTGGCATTTCCTAGAAGCAAGTTACACTTTTACTCTGGTTAAATTGTTTCATTAAGTACCTGTCTGCTGGGTAAAGGAAAATCATTATCTGTGATAGATTCATCTGCAGTATACTGTATTATTTAGGTATTCCCAATATTTCTCCTAAAGTTACTTCTCTCCTAAGCTAACTCCTATCATGCCACTGATAGAATCTTTTCACTTTCAATCCTTCTTAAGAAAAACTTCTGAGTTAATTGTGATCATTTGGCAAAGGTGACGAACAGAAAACTTTATTTATTTAATTTAAAGCCTAAGGTCAGTTGTATTTTTAGATTTTTCTTCAGCTTCATCTTTACTTCACTATCTAGTTTCTATAGCAACTGAGATAGAAGCAGCTGGGTCAGAAAAGAGAAATCTTACAAAACTTACTTTTTTAACATAAAGATCCTTTTCCCTATGCAACATTGTCATAATTTTTCTGGACTATTTCAGGAATTCTGTATTTTTTTCTTAGAGTCTAAACATGCATGTCTTCTCACATAGCCCCATTCTACCCAAAAGATTGCCGCCTCTCTGTTCAGCAATTTAATCAGCCAACTTAAATTAGTCAAATCATGACAGCTATGAGAGTGAACTGTCTATGAAGAAATTGTAGTGACCAGAAGAATTATTTCTGTTATGGAATGTCTGAAATAGCTCTGGAAATTATATTTTTAATTATCTTTTTTTTATCTGGGATTGTTTAGTGATGTGGTGTGTATGTGTTTGTGTGTGTGTCCTATTCAAGCATGATTAGAAAATTCTAGAATGTTACTTTTGCCTATATTCTTAGTTTAACTGGGTTGGTTATAGAGGCCAGACCTTTTGTGTCACTTTAGAAATATGTTGGAAAAATTCTGTCACCCACTGAAAAAGATAACATCAGAGATGCTCAGTCTTTGGTATCTTTCCTTAAGCTCTAATGACTTACTTCTTCAGAAATGTGTATGGCACTTTTAATGAAAGCAAAGTCCCATTTTTAAAAAAATTAGTCTGTTGAAGCTGGAGGAAGTTTATGTTTTTTTTTTTTCCCCCTCCCCCCCAGGAACTACCTTCTGTTGAAGAACTCACTATTATTTTGCCTGAAGATATTGAATTGAAACCTCTTGGGATGGTTTCAAGTATTATTGAACAATTAGGTATGTAAGTAAATTATATTGATAAAAATTACTTATAGTAAGTATGCATTAATTGATCAAAGACTTTACTATGAGTAGTGAATAATTGTGAATATGTAATAAAAATTTCATTTTAGAATGAGATAAACTTAGTTTTTATGTACTTAGCAATGTGTAAATATATTGACTTTAGAAACTTTGCTTTCACTGAAATATTTTTCTATAATTTTCTGTGTTTTATTGTTTAATTACTACAAATTCATTGACTTACAACAGCACAAATTTATTATTTTACCTTTTTTGTGAGCCTGCAGTATAGCATGAGTCTCATAGGGCTAAAATCAGTGGGTCCATCAGGATTAAGTTTATTTCTGGCAGCTCTAGAGAAAGATCCATTTCCTTTCCCATTTTGTGTCTAGTAGTTACCTGTATCCCTTAGCCTGTGGCCCCTTCCTTCATCCTTTACCAATGATGTTGCCTGTTTCTGACTAGTTCCATCACTCTCTCTTCCTCTGACCACAACTTTTAAGGTTCTCTGTTTCTAAGGCTTCTTAGATAAGGCCGGCACCACAGTCCTTAATCTTAACCATATTTCTTGTCTTTTTATTTATTTATTTTAATGTGAAGTAATATATTCATTAGCTCTCAGGGGTTAGGGTGTGGATATCTTTTGGGGGTGGGTGTTATTTTACCTACCACCTTTGGTTTTCCCTTATAAACATATAAATAGAAGCCTCCCTGGTGGCACAAGGGGGTAAAACCAAGCGCTATGAAGCTGTCTGCAGCACAAGTTAGATCCCAGGCCAGGGAGCTGACCAATATGATAGGGTGCAGCAGACCCCCCCTGTCTGGCCATTGCTCCCCTCAGCAGTATATTTCAGTCAATCTGCCTGTTCTGCTCCCCACTCTGTTTCTGGTGAATCCTTGCACCCCCATACCTCTGGCCTGTACCCCAGTTCTTGTTTGCATAAATTTTTTTTTCTCTAAAAAAAAAGGGAAATAACTTAAAAAA